AAATGGAAAAAATGGAAATAAAGTCTTTGTAAATAGGGAAGGGTGGAGGGCGTGAAGGGAGGGCTAGGAATGGGGAAAAAATAAGAACGAAGATGCATTATATAAAGGTACAATTCCCAATGAGAAATGTAATTGTGTTGTATACCTACCATGTACCAATAAAAGAATTTAATAGAAAAAACTATTTCTCAGAGATAAAGAACATCACAAGTTCTGAAAATGCATCCCTAAGTCCCAAGCAGAAATAAAACACATCCCCAGAGAAATATATCCCTGTGAAATTTCAGAACCACATGGATAAAGAAACAAATGCTAAAACTTTCCAAGAGAAAAATCATGATGTCTACACAGGAACAAAAGCCAGATTCGGATCAGACCTTATGTAACTCTGAATGTCAGAAGACCATGGAGACCATGGCTTCAGACTTCTGAGGGAAATTATTTTGAACCTAAAATTCTACACTCAGCAAAACTATTAAACAAGAGGAAAAGGAGAATAAAGGCTCTCAAATGTGAATGGTTCATAATTTACCTGTACATAGTTTTTTGATTAAAAAAAATATTTCAAAGAATCTTAAGAAAGAGGAAGACATGGGGTCAGAGAAACTGCAGAATTAATGCATAAGGAGAACAAAAGAAATCCTGGAATGACAGCTCCATAGAACTCTAGAAAAAAATATATAAATCAGTGTACATAAGTTGAACAAGGGATCAAGGAGCCAGTAGGTGTTTAAGGAAAAACTTGGATTGATACTCAATGCTGTTTAAATACTGGATGGTCTTATAATGTGGTGAAGGCCTACACTGCTTCTGTCAACAAGAGATAAAGACTGTTAGAAATGCCAGAAACACAAATAAAAAGCTGTATAAGAAAAGTCCTGGTTTAAATATGAAACAAAGCAAAATATGATATGATTTTGACTAATCGATGAAAGCAAGGAAAAATAATTAATTTCATCTTTCCCTTGTAACAGTGTCTTTCCAGTGGGCAGGTTGTGGTGACTACAGGGACTGCCTTCCTCCCTAGATGGTCATGTCAATTGTCATTAATTATTTTCCATTCTTAAGATTTAAAAAGCAGCACATAAGCCCCTGTGATCTTATAAAATTAAAAAATTTAAATGGGCTGTGAATGTACCTCAGTGCAAAGGCCTTAGGTCCCATCTCCAGTACTGGGCAGGGGAGGGAAAGAGGGAGAAGAGAGAGGAGAAGACAGATAATGAGCACATATCCTATCTGTAGAGAGTTGGAATATTCAAGAAATATGGAAAAGTGTTCAAGCTGAACATAATTCTTCTAATTTCTCACCTCACAGTCCACAACTCTGACCACGGCCAGTCAGTTCTGCCTCCCCATGTACCTCATTCATCTACTCTCTCCCCACTCCCACCTCCATTTCTTCCCTAGCTCTAAGCCAGCTTCAACACAGCAGCAAGAATGTTTTTTTTTCCCTTCCCAGAGCCTTCAGCCCTGAGTGCTGCTTTCAGCCTCCCATTACCCTCCTCCTCACTAGCCCTCAGCAGTGCCACGTACTGTTCCACACAGAGCCTCTGCTCAGGTTACACAGCTGGCTCCCAGGCCCACTGTTCTCATCTTTCAAGCTTTAAACAACAGTGCAGAAAGACCCTGCCGGATTACCCTGTCTAAAAGGTATTCACCTCTGTTTCCATGCATCTCAGACCCTTTATAACTTTTGTGGTACTTGTCATATATATACATGAGATTTGCAATGAATACTTTTACTCATCTATTTTCTTCTTTATCTCTGTCTCCATCTCACTCGCCATCACATCCCAGTACTAACTCAAGATTTTGGTGAATGAATATACCAAGCATCTAGCTAAGTGTTTTATGTGCCATATCGCATTCAGTCGTTACCTGCAATGTAGGTATTTCTCCTACTTTTTTTTTTTTGTCCCTGGGACCAAACACAGGACCTTGTGCTTGCGAGGCAGGCACAGTGCCACTGAGCTAAATCCCCGGCCCTCTCCTACTTTTTATATGAGAAAGCTGAAGTTCAGAAAGGTTAAGTAAGGACCTCTTGTCACATAGTCAAGGAGCGGCATGGCAAGAACTCAACCCATTGTGTCTGGCCCCAACCACATATTCTCTCTACTTTGTTGTTTCTTTCTTTTTCTCTGTCTCTGTCTCTGTCTGTCTCCCTGTTTCTGTCTCTTTCTGTCTCTGTCTCTCTCTATCTCTCTCTATCTCTATCTCTATCTCTCTGCAATAACGAACACAGAGAAGGTGCCAAGACTCACCCCAGGGTTCTTACCATGTAGGCCATGGAGACCAGTTCATAAATGATTGCCTGGGCTCCAAGCTCTGTCACATTAGTCAGTCCTGAAATGCCAACACACAAAGAACACATTTCAAAAAGTGAATTAAAGCAAATATTTTCTTTATAGAATGCATTTTAAGTTAAGAGAAACCAAGAATGTCCCAGAAGCATGATCTGATGGTGAAATTCACCATCTGCTGAGGAGAACCCAGACTTCTCTTCCTAGGGAGTTGCCTCAGGCTTACTGCCCAAGCTCTACCCGCAACTCCCACCCTCTGTTCAAAGTAGAAAAAAACCAGACTCCTGGAGTTGCAGATCATTCCTAGAAAACTTAAGGTCATGTCGTTGGAGAAAAGGTGGGAGGGCAGCAGAACTCTACATACAGCAATGGAAATTACTGCAGAAACATGGGTTGTCTTGGTTACTTTTCTCATTGCTGACACCCTAAATATCTGACAAAATATCCGACACCCTAAATTAAAGGAAGAAAGGTTTATTTTGGCTCACAGTTTCGAGGTTTCAGTCAAAGCATGGGACACATGGTCTAGAGTCCAACAGCCATTGCAGTCCTTGTTCCTAAGTGAAACCTCTTGAGCTTGGTCTTTACTGGCTGCATTTCTATCAGCGTTCTGGTCTTCTTAGCTGTGACCAGAATCTTCCAACAAGTCCAGCTTAAAGCATTCCAGGCCTGCAGCCAGCATCTCTAAATCCTTCCAAACTCCTTGTGCAAGCCACTGTGAAAGGTTCCTAAAGCACATGGCCAGGTAATGTCACAGCAATGACCCCACTCTTGGTACCAAAATCCGTCTGTGCTACTTTTCTTGTTGCTGATACAAAATACCTATGCTTAACCAAACAGTGGACTAATTTAGCAATCATGCACTCTTAACCCTGGCATCACACAGCTTAATCCTAGCATCACACCCTAGAACTGGTCACCTCTGAAAAATCCTACATATGAGCACATAAGGTATTGGTGGGACATCTAGATACAAGCCATAATATAGGTCACAGCTTAAACAGATCCAAGTCAACCTGCTGTATCTGTTCAAGTCTTAAAACCTTGGCTGGAAGCCTAGCAAAAGTCAGCTAAAAGATAAGGCACCTGACAGCCTTAGGTTGGGGATGCTCTGTTCCATGGGAGAACCCTTCTCCAGTGTCCTCTCTTCCTCATTTACAAAATGAAGGAGTGCCCTAGAGCTAAACTAAAGCCTTGCCTAATTTGAATATGCTTATGGATGGCCAAGCATGTATGCCTATAATGTAAACCTTTCTTTGAGCCTGATAAAATGGAACAAGATAAGAAAGCAGAGTTAAATTTCTAGGAGACAGGACTCCTAGGCTACATGTAGGTTTCTGCTGAATGCTAACCAACCTGCCAGGAAGGTCCCGATTTCAAAGGTCCACCACTCGATGCATACCATGAACATGCTGGGAACAGCCAGGTGGATGTAGGAGCCCCACTCCTGGAAGCACTCCCTCGTCCAACCTGGATGTTAGAGAAGAAAACAAATACCAACCATTCTATCTCATCTACCCTCTTCTTCCCCCATGGCCAGAGACTAGGAATGACCTTAGTTCTCCAGAAAAATATAAAGAGGACTGGAGTTTGAGATGGCAGACACTAAACTGCCAATGTTTAGTGAAACTGAAGTACATTTATGCCCTGTCACCCACACATGCCACTCCTGGGTATAAATGGCAGAGAAATTTCTGTGCTGCTCCATAAAAAGTAAGTTGGATTCACTATGGCAAACAGTGATTGTGGGATGTGGGAGACATCAAGGAGACCTTTAGAGAAGTAAAAAATGATAGCTGCACACTAAAGTTGAAAGCAAAACACTGGTTATATATGTACATAATGGCAGTATGGATATAGTTAGTTGGGTTTTTTTGTTTTGTTTTTCCCCGGTACCGGAGATCAAACTCAGGACCCTGTGCTTTCAAAGCAGGCACAGCAGCACTGAGCTAAATCCCCAGCCCTGTCTTGTTTTTGAGAGAGGGTCTCACTATCTTGCCCAGGCTGGTCTCTAACTCCTGGGCTCAGGCAATCTTCCTGCCTCAGCCTTCTGTGTAGCTGGGACTGTCCCTCCCACTCCACCTAGCTTTGATAGATATTGTATTAAAATTGCATTCCAAAGCAACAAAATAAAAATAGATAAATTAGACTTCATCAAATTAAGAGCTTCTATGCCTCAAAAAACAGAATCAGCAGAATGAAAAGGTAGCCCATAGAATGGGAGAAAATATTTGCAAATCATATATCTAATAAGGATGTCTATATATCATAATATCTATAATATATAAATAATTTCTGCAACTCAGCAATGAAAAAAAAAAGCAGTCCAATTTAAAAACAAATACTTTGGGCTAGGAATTTAGCTCAGTAGTTCTGCCCCCTGCCTCACAATTGCAAGGTCCCGAGTTCAATCCCCAATACCAAAAAACAAAAACAAACAAACAAAACAAATACTTTGGAAAGACATCTCTCCAAAGATGATATACAAATGGACACATACATGAAGATATTAAACATCACTAATCAATAGGAAAATATAAATCAGAACTACAATGAGTTATTACCTTCTACCCATTAGAATGTCTATTATAAAAAAAATACAATAAGTGACAAAGGTTGGTAAGGATATAGAGAAACTGGAACCCTGGTATATTGTTGGTGGGAATGTAAAAAAAGTGCAGCTTTTTTACAATATGCAGGTTCCTCAAAATTAAAAATAGAATTACCAAATGACTCAGTAATTTCACTTCTGGGTATATAATCAAAAGAATTGAAATCAGTGTGTGTGTGTGTGTGTGTGTGTGTTTGTGTGTGTGTGTGTGTGTTTAGACATGGTCTTACTGTGTATGTAGTTCAGACTAGCCTCAAACTTGCTTTGTAGCCCAAGCTGGTCTCAAACTTGTGATCCTCCTGCCTCAGCCTCCTATGTGCTGGGATTACAGGCATGCAGCACCACACTTCACTAAAATCATTATCTTAAAGAGATATTTGTACATCCATGCTCATATCCCTTTTATTCACAATAGCTAAGGATAGAAGTAATCCAAATACCCATCAACTGATGAATGGATAAAGAAATATGGTTTATACATACAAAGAAACATTACTCAGCCTTTAAAAGGAAGGAAATCCTGATGTATGCTACAACACTGGATGAACCTCGAGGACATTTTGCTAAGTGAAATAATCCAGTCACAGAAAAAGGCCAATACTATACAATTTCAATTATATAAGATATCAAGAGTAGTCACATTCATAGAAATAAAAAGTAGGATAGTGGTAGCCAAGGGCTGAGGGGTGGGGAGGGAGGGATGGGGAGTTTAATGGGTAAAGAATTTCAGTTTCTCAAGATGAAATTTTTCTGGAGATGGACACATGTTTCCCCCAAATACCACCATCCAAAGTTAGAAACTTAATCCCCAAAGTCATGTGATAATGTTATTTGGACGTAGGATCTTTTAGAGGAGATTAGATCACAAGAGCAGAGTTCTCATGGATTAATGGACTAATGGGTTAGTGGATTAGTGGGTTATTGAGGTAATGAGTGTTATAAAAATGAGCTCTCTCTGGCACCCTTGCTCTGTCACCATGTGATGTCTTCCATCATGCTATGATAGAGGAAGAAGGCCTTCACCAGATGCTGAGAAGATGCTGGCACGATGCTCTGAGGCTTCCCAGCCTGCAGAAATTTTAGCTAAATAACCTTCTTTATTAATTATTCAGTACATAGTATTCAATGACAGCAACAGATGATTATGATGGTTGCATGATGGTGTGAATATACTTAATGCTACTAACCTGTACCCTTTAAATGGTTAGGACAGATGGTACATTCATCAATTCATTCAATAAAACTTCATTTATAAAGACAGGATGCAGGCTCATGAGGTTGCCAACCTCTGCTAAATAAAAAAGTTTATAGAAAAAAATACAAACCACAGTACTATTAGTATTTGAATATAAACATATACACAGGCAAAAAACACTGCACACTCTTCAAAGATACACATTGGAAGGGGAATAGCAAACACAGAGAAGGTGTGTTGAGGGAGGAGAATGGAAATTTTGATACAAGGGAAAATACCCTGACATGGGAGAAGAGCAATAGAAGGAATGATGCAATGACTGCCCATAAATTTTAACATGAGAAACTCAGTGCTTTGCATTAAGGGCAGGAGAGGAAGAGGGGGAGAGGTCTAGGCAGGCACTGGGCACAAGGAGGAATTTCTGTAACAAAGAACAAAGAAAAGTACCAAAAGCCAATTTGTAACTCATGTCCTGGAAGGCAACATGGTCTAGGGGGAAAAGAGTAAGCCTGGGCCCCAGCCGATTCCCCAGGTTTGGAGGTGGAATTTGAGAGGACAACACAGCAAACTAGTAGAAAAAGCCAAATGGACTGCCTGATGGCCAAGGATAGTGAGAAGGGGTACAGGATGGGAGGGTCAAGGCATAGGCTTGAGTGAGCAGGGAGAACTAGGAGCCAGGAAATCACTGTCCCTGTCTGCAAATAAAGACCAGCTGCCTGCCAACCTGTGTTGGACACAAACAAGCTTCCCCTCTCAAGCTATGAGCAGAAAGGTTTGCCACTTGCAGAAGAACCTGAAGTGCAGCCATGGTGAGGACATCCTAAGCCAAGAAGCTGGGCTTGGAGCAGATATATTTCATCAGACATGAACAGATACAACTCTTTTAAAAATGGACAGTGCGCACATGTAACTCACAGGGAGAATAACCCCTCAGAAGATGAGTACACAGACAACACCATAATGAAGTCAGTCAAAAGCTTGAGGGGACAAGTATCCATCAGAAACTTCTTAGTGAAGTTGAGTCCTAAATGTCAACATATCCCAGGTCTCATTATGCGCCAGAAAGAACCTGCTAATTACATTATGGTACAACATTGTAGCACATCAACTGAAAGGCGAAGTCCAATTTTAGAGATATTAAAATGTGAAAAAATTTGTGTCTGAGAATCAGCAAGATAGGAAATATGTTCCATGACCAAGGAAACAAACAGATAAGAAATCTAATGACAGGCTGGGGTTAGTGGTGCATCCCTGTAATCTCACTCAGGCATCTGAGGCAGGAAGATGTTAGTTCAGACCCTGCCTGGGCCACATAACAAAATCCTGTCTAAAAATAAAATAAAGGCTGGGGATGTAGTTCAGTGGCAATGTGCTTGCCTCGCATGCACAAAGCCCAGTGTTCAATCCCTAGTACTGAGAAAAAAATTCATATTTAATGAATACTGGGCTAATCTGAAATAATTTTTGTTTGTTTGTTTTCTAAGACAGGTTCCCACTATGTAGTTCAGGCTAGCCTTGAAATTTATTATATATTCAGGTTGGCCTTAAACTTGCAACAACCCTTCTGCCTCAGCCTCCCAAGTGCTGGGATTACAGGTATGTGCCACCATGCCTGGCTAAAAAAAATTTTTAAATAAGCATTCTTAAAATGTTCAAAGGCAGAAAGTTATGAAATGAGGATAAGCAGATATAAAAAGAACTAAATAAAATATTACAAATAAAAAATATAGTATTTAAAAACCTGAGTCTACTCATGAGGACACAAATCCAGAGATAATCCATGAGGGCCATTCTACAAGACAACTGGTTTATACTCTTTGAAATACTAGTGCCATAAAAAACTAAAAAGGAAAGAAAGGGTTGATAAAAAGAGCTGGAGTATAGGTCAGTGGTAGAGTGCTAAGTTGCCCAAGTTGCAATTCTGTTTTAGCCTTCTGCATAGTTGAGATTATAGGCTGGGTCCACCATACCCAGCATGTTTTTTTTTTTTTTAATGGGAGGGCAATTAGTTGTATAAGCACTGTGTGAATGTGTGAATATATAAAAGAATACTGATTGCTTAAAGAAAGTTAAATGGCTACTAAAGTCATCAAATCTATAAATCCACATCAAAAGCTTCCTAAACATTAAAGGGTCTGTAGATCTGGCATAATTAATTGGATTTTCAGAGGATTCAAAATACACATTTATGTTTAAAACACTACTATATTAAAATAGCTCCTCTATCACTGAAACCAAGAGGTGGAGAAAGATAAAAATAAAGATAAAAATTGAGCAAGGAAATGAAAATCACCTTGGACAGAAGGTTTAAGTTCTGCCTCCTTAGTTACTATATTAAGGGCACAGTATTTACTTATAGACAATTAGCCATCTCTGAAGAAACCATTAATCTCTCACCATTGGATGGGTTACATATAATATGAAATAACTGGACAAAAAGCTAATCTAGAGTGACTGAGAGCAGGTTAGTGGTTGCAGAAGCCAAGGGCCTGAGGATGGAATAAGACTGACTACAAACTGTCATGAGGAATCTTTCTTGGGCAACGGAAATATTCTAAAATTAGATGGTGGTAATAGCTATATAACTGCAGATTTGTAAAGAATCTCAGTGAAGCTTTTTAAAAAATGACAACTTTTCTCATTTTGATTTTGAAACAGAAGTAA